ACCAGGGAGACCCCCAAGAGGCATTGTAATGAATGTTCTTTGTTCCATGCCATAATATTTAAAACAAGAGCATAAATTTAAGGTGCTTATTTCAGTCATTTAAGTCTACAGAGTGGAATTGTTGGGTGTCAAAGCCACTTACCCTCTGAAGTTGTGAACTGAGAGGAAATGAATTTTATAAAATTCACCATTTCTATTTCAGAGTAGCATCAGTGTTACTTGGGCGGGGAGTGGGGGGGCATGAATGACTTGTGTATCATTTCAATGCAAAAGAATAGCAAAGATAATGCTGGGAGCTTTAATCAAATGCTTCTCACATGCCTTAATTATACTTTGATGATCTTGCTGTTACTTGTATTCTATAGAAGAGTAAACTGCAACTTCGAATAGTTGAAGCAAGGCAAAGCAAAGGCCTTTTTCAAGTTTATAGAAATAGCAAGATAGCAAGTAGCAGACCTGGCATTCCTTCTCAGGCAGCCTGGCGAAAGAGCATGGGCTCCTTACCTGCACTTACATGACAGCAAGAATGTAGAATGCTCTTTTCCCCAGAAGGTCTGCATGTGCATATCGAAACTGCTAGAAAAGGAGAATGGTGTTTCCTACCTCTGTTTATTGTAAGTTACTAATCTCTAGGTGCTCATCAGCTTTCCAGGTCTGCACTAATGATGACCTCTAGCTTGTCATTTGTGAGGATGTACAGAAGTTGCTGGGTTCTGCTTCATTGTAGCTGGCAGGATTGAATCAGTGTCCAGAGAGCTCTCACAGCTACTGTGTTCCCCTTCCCAGCAACCTTGTACATTTTCTGTTGTGCTTGTTACTGATTGTGAAGAGCACCATGATAGTGATCTATTTCCAGAGGAATAGGGGAGGCACAGACTATGCACGGATGAGAACTGTCACCTAGGCAGCCACTTGAGGGCCAAATGACATGTGGAAATCCTAACTTTTTTTTAAGATTTATTTATTTTTATACAAGAACTGGGGTACAGGCCAGGGTGTGAGAGGGTGAGAGGATTCACCAGAGACAGAGCGAGGAGCAGAACAGCAGAATGACCAAAATACACTGCTGAGGGGAGTAGCGGTTGAGACAGGAGAGGTCTGCCGTGCCATGTGGGATTCTCGCTGGCTGGCCGGGATTGAACCCACACTGCAGAGGCTGTGGACAGCTTCACAGCACTGCGCTCAAACCACTGTGCCACCGGGGAGGCCCCAGAAATCCTAACTTTTAATACTTTTTTCTTGGTTTTAAAATTTTATGGCCTTTCTTCGGAACTCTCAGGAATAATTGTTTTTATTTTTGCCATCTTTTCCCAGGTAGTAATGACTGAGATTTGAAATTACTCTTATAATTTTAATTTAAAATTACAATTTTAAGGAAGAATTGCATTTTCTTTCCTGGGTAATTTACCCTTATTCTCCTTTTCACTGACTCTCAGGCTGTTATCAGTAGTCCTAACTGGAACATGGCAAATTTAAAATGACTTCTGTTTGTTTTTCTCATTAGTCCCACAAAATGGCTTAGTATAGTTTAAATTCTTAACTGAGTTCCCTAGTGAATCCCTGAAAAATAATTCATTTCCTCCACTTATTTTGAAAACCAAATGTCAAAAGTGCTGAAGTAGACTATGACTGCAGGTGTTGGTTTAAGAGAGACTCTGCTTGGTCCCTAGTCAGTCAGACTTCTGGGAAATCTACAATCGAAATTAAAAAAAAAAACACATTAATTAAGTCCATGATCTGTCCACCTGCTGTTGAACCAAGGCATCCTAGAGGGATAGCACAGTGGCTTTCCAAGAAACCTACTCCCAAAGATGAGGATGTGCTTCAGTTTCCCATATTCCTTAATGATTTATGTAGCAGTTTTATCCATAGGTTTATATATTAAACAGAGTGAAAAATTTATTGTTATTTGTCATAAAATGACTAGCATTTTGATCAAAATCTTATTTGAAGAGATAACTAATATTTTTTGATGAAAGGACATAAATTGATCAGGCCAAAATTAATTTTTTAAATAAAAACAAAAGGAGATTTAGTAGGATGTACATAAAGGTTGACACTTCCATTAAAAATATAAATTTCCCAAGTGTAGGATGGGGATAAAAAAAAGACCTATGTTAATAACAGTTAATGTGAAATTTTGTGCTAAGCATTTGAGGAGACTTTACTGCTAAGGTAAATATTATAGGCTATAGTAGACTCCTTTCACTCTGACTAGATAAATATCTGTAATATTGTGGTCATTTGTGGGGAGATGTCAATTTTAGCCTACCAAGATGTGGAAAAAATTTTTTTGATGTGCTTCCCGTGGAGAGAGGAGATAAAACAGTTGGGGTTAACCAAGAAAAGAGGAGAGAAAGTTTTTGGAACTCTGAAGGGTTCCTTCAGACACCTGAAGTTCTCTCAAATGGGAGAGACATCAATTGATCAACTCTTAGTCATAAAATGGAATCTAATACACATGGGCAGAAACTGCAGGGATGTAGATTTTAATTTTACCTGAAGTTTAAAGCAGAATTTTATAGCAATTGTATTTCTTCAGGAATGAAATAGGTTGTTTTACAGCCTGGTGAGCTTTCTTTCACTCAGTATGAAGGACTAGGCTGAAATCCTAACCTGTGATGCTGGCATGCTGGTACAAGTGACTCTTGGAATGAGTAGGAAGTTGGACTGTCCTGAACATTCCTTCCAAACCTACGAATTTTTTCAAAAAATTAATTAAAGATTAAAGCAATTTAAGGAGTTATCTTTTAGATAGCTTTTTATGACATCTAATTTGCTCTCTGGGAGCAAAAAAAAGAAATCTGATGAGAAAAACAAAAATCACTTCATGCCTACTCATGTTTTCAAATTTCAGCTTTATTTCTCTTGCACATGCTCATATGGCTTAGTAATTAGAGGAGTCAGAAAATTTAGTTAGCAACCCTTTCACATAAAGGATAAATCCCTTTCACATCCAGATGTTGTCAGATTGCTTCATTTCTGATTACTGTTCATCATCCTCTGAGCTAGGATTTGTTTCATTATGATGAAATTTAATAAAGCACGTGTATTCTCAATGCACATCTTTTTGGGTCTGTGCAACAGTTATTAGTGATATAAATGAATAAATAATATAAAAAATGTATCTTCAAGAATAACATGTTAGCAAACTTTTCTAATTTATTCGTTAGAGACTGACTATACATATCCTCCACTTTTGTCCTCTTCATTCTAGACCTTTTGTGCCCCCATTACCTTTTCAAGACCCATGAAATTGAACATCTTCAAATTTTCATATTGTAGAAAGCCCCCGTATGGTTTTTTCTATGGAATTTTCTGCAGTTATGACAATGATCTGTCCCTGTGATGTTTAAGACAGAAGCCAGTGGTCACATATAGTATTGTGCACTTGAAATATTGCTAACGCAACTAAGAAACTGAACTTTTAATTTTACTTAACTTTAATCAATTTTAATAAAAGTAAGCATATGTGACTAGTGGCCACCATATAAAAGAGAACCGCATCTGGTGAAGAATTCATAGTATCAGAAAAGGTGCTAAGTATATTGCACTAATTAGGATAATTCAACATTCTAAATACCTCTTTTCTTCATTGAGTTTAAGGGCATTTAGATGAAGTAATGCAACATTATATTTTTTAAAAGATTTTTTTATTCATACAAGAACCAGGGTACAGGCCAGATGTGTGGGAGGGTGAAAAGATTCACCAGAGACGGAGCGGGGAACAGAACAGGCAAACTGATGAAATACACTGCTGAGGGGAGCAGCGGGCAAGACAGAAGAGGTCTGCCACGCCATGTGAGTTTCTCCCTGGTCAGCTGGGATCGAACTGGCACTGCAGAGGCTGAGGACAGCTTAACAGAGCAACACTCAACCACCTGCGCCACTAGGGAGGCCCTGCAACATTATTTTTAATATATGTTAAGATCATCGTCAAAAAAGAGAGAAAATAGCAACATCCATTTAAAGCATTTATAATTAATAGCAGACATAATTCTCTTTTCAATGCCAGATACTTTACATATCTGCTTTCCAGATATATCATCTATTCTTTCCATAATATTCCACGTTAGATGGTAAAATTATTCCATTTGATTTAAGAGAAGAAACTGAGTAACACCAATTTAAAATAATAAAACCACAGCTAGAAAGTGGTAGACCCAAGTAGGGTTCTTCACTGATTTATCTCACGTTGGATATTTCCTTCATCCTCTTTTCAAGTACATATACATATTTCTCTAGTCATCATTAGGAAATAAGGTGGAGGTTAGGAACTTGAGCCCTAGCACATACTGCCTGACTGGAATCTTGACTTTTGCTACTTAGTACCTGTGTGAGCTTGAACAACTTAGTAAATACCTCTGAGTCTCAGTGTTCTTACTTTAATGTGGAAATAATAAAGGTATCCACCTCTTAGGGTTGTTGAGAGAGTTAAGTTAACAGTTCTTGGCATGTTTTTGAATCATGTATTCACCATCATCATTATTTTTAATTTGAGATAGACTGCCTTTTATTTTAGGATGTTGATTTAATGTGGTAATAATAGATGAAATAGAGATATGCTTTGGGTGTGCTTCCCTAGGAAATAAGAGAGCTCAAATAATTCAAATAGCTCAGTAAGAAACATCCCGCTGTTCTTTCTCTTTGGTGTCTCCATCACTGAGATTATAAAGTTTCAGAGCCAGCATACCCTGACAGTTTTCATATCTTTACTTTTCATGTTACCCTTATAAGAGTCTCCTTTGGTGTCTTTGATTGGTTCTGAATGCTGAACAGTGACAAACACCAACACAGCTGGAATGAGCTGTAAGATTTGCTCTTCTGTCTTCCAGCAGGGAATTATTGCCATGGATACCAGTATCAGAGGAAGATGGGGAGCACACTCCACTTGCCTCTTGAGTGGTTTGACATCTGTTTCTGGCAAAGCCAATAATGAGTATGCTGCTAGCTTCATATCAAATAGGAGACTGATCCATACCTCTTGTTTTTTACTACAGATGGCCTCGACCCAAGATGCCAGGTTTGGCCAAAAAGACTCATCTGATCAGAACTTTGACTACATGTTCAAATTGCTCATCATTGGCAATAGCAGTGTGGGGAAAACATCTTTTCTCTTCCGTTATGCAGATGACTCCTTCACATCTGCATTCGTCAGCACAGTTGGGATCGATTTCAAAGTAAAAACTGTATTCAAAAATGAAAAGAGAATCAAGCTTCAGATTTGGGTAAGTGATTTTGAACTGACAGTGTTCTTCAGTCTATGGCATTGAACATATAAATGGGAAAAGCTGTCTGCCTTATTCCATCTCCCTGGGATTCAGAAGCCTCCATTTTTTAGGCTCTTTGCTGTAGAACATTCTGTTTCAAAGGCAGTAGAGTGATGCTTTTTTAAGTTATGGAGATTGACTTATGAGTTGTCGGTGATGTTCTTACAGTCTCACTCATAACAGGAATTTAGAAAACTTAAACAACAGACCAGGAAAAAGACTAATCAATACAAAGTAAAAATCAAAATCAACAAGCAACTATAAACCAGTGACACTCTCTGGGGTTGGGGGGAGCGGGGAGGGAGGGATGGGGAGAGGAAAGACTAGAGTCAAAATGAGGGGGGGTGCAATTGTATGGGGGATATAACCATAATGAAAATGCATACATTGTGCAAAGATGAAAAATTATGTAAGAATTATATAAAATAAAATGTTTAAATAAATAAATAAATCTTTAAAAAAAAAGAGTCATTAGAAGAAAGAAAATCTAAATATCTGTTGGTTTGGTGGTGGAACACTCAACCAGAAGTCTGGCTCTGCCTTTTCTGATCTCTGTGACATTAAGCATATCTGAATCCTTCTATGCTGTCCTTATAATATACAAAATAGACAAAGTGGATCCAGACTTTTTGGTTGCCTGCCCTAGGCATCTTAAAGAAGAAGGTAAACGATCAAATATAAAGAAAGCTTAGGTTTCGTTATTTATAAAGCCCCAGACATAACTTTTAACATGGTCTATTTATATTTCAGATTTTGTGATCTCAGTTCTAAAGGTTACAGTCAAACAAAAAAACAAATGGAAATGAAATATTTGTTTTAATAGGTTTTCCCTGAGCCAAAGTTTCCTGAATAACTTTCTGTTAACTTTATACCTCTCCCTGTGCTGTGAAGATCACAGGTTTCTTAACTAAATTATCTTGATAAATTTAAGAGCATAACAAGTGAGAAACAATAGAAAAATATGGGTAATAGGTTCAAGGTAATATAATAGAGGAAGTAACTGAAAAATTGGTTACACCAACAGAGAAATATATGTGTATAGATAGTTATTTAGATTTGTATATATTCAGCTATTTAGATTTAGATTTTCTTATATATGAGATCTGATTAGTGGGTTTGCCTTTCAAAACTGAGCCCCAATGAGTCTCTTATGATCTCTAGAGGTCAACTAACTGGGAGGAGTCATCCCTCCATGGTCCACAGATCCCTAAATGTCAAAGCAATAGAATACAGAAAGTAGAAGACAAGAAGCAGGTTCACAAAGCCCTGGGGGCAGCATCTGCTACTGATTCTACCCTGACAAATGCTGGTTATAGCCACAATTCCATCCAAGCTCTATGTATTGCTCAGGACTTAGATACCTAGAACATCAGGTCAGGAAAATATCTTTCAGATTTTCTGACCCATCTTCTCATTTGAAAATTTTGCTGATAATAGCAACATTTATAGAATTCAGTTACTGACCCATAAACACTTTATATGTATTTGCATTTAAAAATTTATTTTTTGCATCCATCCTTTGAAGGAAGATGACATTATTAGCCACATTTATATACAAGGAAACAAAGAATCAGAAAGACAAAGTGATTTGCCAAGGTCACAGCTAGGTTATGTCAGAAGCAAGAGTCTAACCAGGGCATTCAATCCAAAGTTCGGGCACTTCACTACATGGTGTAAATGAGGTCCAGGGAGGCCAAGGAATTTGTCAGAGGCCACCAGGGGATCCAATCTGAACTCCTGCATATTTTAATCCCATATTTTAATATTTTTTGACACTATACAATTTCTCATTATTTTTCCATATTCTCTAGTATCTAGTCCAAGAAAGTATTTATAGTTTCCAAAAGGAATCTGTTGTTTTGCTGAAAATTATTATTCACCATCTTTTTTTTTAAAGATTTATTTATTTATTTTATACAAGAACCGGGGTACAGGCCAGATGCACGGGAGGGTGTGAAGATTCACCAGAGACAGAGCCGGGAACAGAACAGGCAGACTGACTAAATACACTGCTGAGGGGAGCAGTGGGCCAGACAGGAGAGTTCTGCCGTGCCATGTGGGACCTTCGCCAGCTGGCAGGGATGGAACTGGCGCTGCAGAGGCTGAGGACAGCTTCACAACGCAGCGCTCAACCGCCTTTGCCACCAGGGGAGGCCCTTATTCACCAGGTTGCACATTATCTGTTTTGTGCTTAAAGCATAGAGATAAACACAGTAGGAGGGACTGGAAATTATTCAACTAACTTCTTGCATGTTTCTAGTGTGCCCCGTATCTACTGTTGGGGAGTGTGTATATAAAGAGTATGTGGAGCGGCCTCCCTGGTGGTGCAGCCGTTAAGTCCCGGACTGTGAAGCTTCCCACAGCCTCTGCAGCTCCTGTTAGATACCTGGCCCTGGGGGAGGGTCCCACATGGCGCGCAGACCTCTCCTGCGGCGCCTGCTGCTCCCCTCAGCAGTGTACTTCGGTCCTTCTGCCTGTTCTGCTCCCTGCTCTGGCTCTGGTGAATTCTCTCACCCTCCCGTGCTTCTGACTGTCCCCAGTGCTTGTATAAATAAATAAATAAATCTTTTAAAAAAATATGTAGAGGGGAGGGTCAAAGTAAAATGAATGAATACCTACTGGAAAGTAGTTCTGCCTATAATCTTTGCATGGTACTCATTTAGTCTGTTTACGCTGGCACTGATTTCAGGAAGGTGTTAAACCCATTTGTCTGTTTATAAGGAGCCAAGATTTTTCTTCCCTGGGTAAGTTCCTTAAGAGAACCATTGGAGCTGGTGACAGCTGCCAACACCATTCCTGGTGCTGTCATTTGTATGTTAACCCCCCTCCCCCAATACCCCCATCACATTTCTTTTAGCTTTTCCTGAGAGATGAGAAAGGCAAGATTTAGTTTCACTCTTGAGTGGAAGCTGATGCTGCTGCAAAATGTCAGGATGTATGAAAACATTCATTCTGTCAAACAACCCAAAGTTCCAACTCCTGCATCCCAGGGCATTTAAACCACTCTTCTCAGCACTAACAGAACACAAAGAATGGTAAAGACTGTTCCTGGACTAGTAAAGCTTACCAGCTATGAAGGAAGACAGAAGAGCAAGCATGGAAGGAAGGATCACCCTGCCGACCAGTCAGTCATGCCGTCAATGGACAGAGTGACCTGGAAACTCAAGCAGAAACTTTAGAGTCAATGACTTGGGGTTCAAAGATCAGGGATGACCCTGATCTCTCTAGCTATGTAACCACAAGCCCTAACTTCTCTGAGTATTTACTGTCATAAATATTTATATGTAGCTCAATAGGTACACATTGGCTCTCAAATCAGTTTTTCTCTTTTCTACAATGGTACACCAACCTTCAGACTTTTGTAGTCATTCAAGTAACTTCATCCAGTCAAATATTTATTGGATGCTTTTATGTACCAGACACTGTAATTAGAGAATGTAGCTCAAAATGGACAGGGTACCAGTAGGCGTAGGGGATACACTAGTGAAGGATGTACTGGGGATACACTGGTGAAGGATGTAAGAGCTAACCATGTGATGGAGAGGAGAAGAGTCTTCCTTTGCTGCAATAAATGTCCAGGAGGCATGAGCACAGGTGCACAAGAAAGATAGCTGACCCAGTCATAGGGACTGTGAGGTTTCCCTGGGGGCAGCTATATCTGAGTGAAAAGAATTTATTTATTCAATCATTCAATCAATCAACATTTATTGAGTTTTTACTATGTACCAGACACTATGAAGGAATTCGAGATCAAAAGTAAATACACAGGGCCTCCCTAGTGGTGCAGCAGTTTGAGCACAGTGCTTGAAGCTGTCTGCAGCCTCTGCAGTATGGGTTCGATTCCCGGCCAGCCAGGGAGAAACCCACATGGTGCGGCAGACCTCTTCTGTTGCTCCCGCGGCTCCCCTCAGCAGTGCTTTCAGTCGGTCTGCCTGTTCTGCTCCCCTCTGTGTCTCTGGTGAATCCTCTCACCCTCCCACACCTCTGGCCTGTACCCCAGCTATTGTATAAATAAATAAATCTTTTTTGAAAAATCATTAAAAGTAAATACACAAAAAATATAGATTGTGACAATACCGTTGAGAAACCATCAGAAAAGAGGGAGGGAGGCTTGTGTTCCTTAAATGATAAAGGAGGGTTTATATGAAAGGACAGACCTGAGACCTGGGGCTAAGAAGAAGCCAGCCATGTGAAGAGTAGGAGCAAGAGCTAGTGCTTGCATGTTGGTGTCCCCCACTCCCCACCTCTCCCACCCCCTTGCTTGTTCTCTCCTTTCCTCTACTTTCATAAGTGGGAGGTTTTGTTTTCTGAGTATTTTCCCATGTCTTTCTATAGAGCATTTATTGCCTAGTGTCTTTAAAATACTCCCCCCCCAGTTTTTCTTCCATTTTAGCAGGGGTGATACTTGATTTTTGGGTCTGAAGCTGATACAGTTGGCAATCATTTTAAGGAAAAATATTCAAAATATACTTTTGCAGAAGTAACAAAATGCAAATGACTGTGTGAACACATTGCTGGAACCCTTAGAATTCTCAGAAAGTACCCAAACTTTACCCATCAGTCAGTTTCATGGTAATTCGCCTCTGCTTTTGTGGAAATTTTACCTGCATGATTAGAGGGACTGAAATATACATAGAATTGATAAGAAGCAGATATGAGTCTTGCAAAATAGGAATGCAGGCATGATGTGTGGGGTAGAAAAGGAAGGGGCATTGAAGCAGGGGACTGGATCCCTGAGAAATGACAAAAGACTTCCCTAAGCATCAAATGCTGATCTTAAAACTAAAGGGAATGGCCTCAAAACAAAAATAAAGCTGACATTCAGTGATCCCTAATGTGTCAGTAAGCAGTTTATGGGCACTAAATCATCTAATCTTCACAAAAACCCTATGGGATGGATGATGTTCTTCTCTTCAGTTCAATCAGATGAAGAAGACTGAGACACAGAGAAAATAATT